GACTCCTCTCAGAGGGACTGTGAAGGGTTCTCTCAGAGGAACTGCGAGGGCTCCTCTCGGAGGGATTCCGTGGGGGTCTTTCCCAATACAAGCCGTGGTGGTTTCGCCCCTCATGTGCGAGTTTCTCTTTACGGTGACTGCACCTGGTTCTCTTCACAGGGGAACTGGGTAGGATTCTCCCTCCGGGCCAAACTCTGGTTCCTGGTTTGGACAAGTTCTTAGACTTCTTGCTGGAGATTTCATTTCTGTAAAAGTTTTCCTTTGCTCTGCGGCTACTATCCTTTCGAACTGTACCCAAAGGCTGCCCACCTGAGCTAGTTTGGGAACCTGTGGGCTTGGGCGACTGGAGAGGTCTGGGCTGGAAAGAGCTCTCTCTTTTTGGCTGTTGAGCTGATCTACATTGGTCTGTTCCTCCCCACAATATGTCCCCATGCTTAGTGGTTGAGCCTGTTGGCCTTAGCTTGGCAACTGGCATCCTGTCTCTTTTGATATCTCCTGGTGAGCAATAGTCCGTGGCTTTTTGTTTTGGACAGTAGTTTTTGCTTGACAAATTGTCTGGCCGTGCCCTGTCCTCAGGCTTCTGCCCAACAAAAGCCATAACTCTGTGTGCCGTTTGGAATGCCTGCTTTAGGCCCTGAAAAAGCAGTTGCATGAACTTGGGTTGGGAGGATTTTTTAGGTTGTCTTTTTAAAGAGGCAGTACTTGTCTGAGATGCTCCAACCCTCTTCCTTCTTAAATGAGATGGTAATTCCCTACAGGAACTCTCTATTGCGGTTCTACTGTTTGTATAGAATTTTGTGTTTTGTTTTCTAAGTGCCTTGGTGATTCTCTTCATTGGATATTTTGAATCAGAGGTCTTTTTGGTTCTCACTTTAGCCCATTTTTTATTCTGATTGCTTTCAGAGTCACTCTCTGGTGCAGCGTGAACTTGAGTGAATTCATAGTGCCCAGGCTCTCTAATTTCTGTCTTTTCTACTAAGTCAGGGCTGGCATATTGCCCTTGCCTGATATGAACTTGGACAGGAGCAGGAGACCAGGAAGACCCAGACTGAAAATCTTTTGTGGGAGTAGGACTCTTGAAAGCTTGAGTAGAGGTTTTAGCTTTCCTTCGTGATGGTGATACAGGGTTCCTTGGTATGATGGGTCTATCTCTTCCACGATACTTTGTGATTTGGGGTCTTTTCCCAGTTCGTAACCTAAAGCCAAGATGCAACCGAATCTCGCCATGGCCTTCAGGAGTGCTTACAAGGTGGAGCTGTGGATAGATAAGAAGATAAGGCCCAAAAGTGGCCTGTAATTTGTGACAGCAATTAAATCCTGAACATCGACCACACTGTAGGCAGATGGGGTATTTTAGGACCAGACCTGAAGCTAAAGGTGGAGGCACATTGGGGGGCATTTGACTCCTTAAGAGTTTTGCTGCTATTTTTAGCTGCAGATCTTGTAGCAACTGGAACTGTTCTGAGAAGTCAGTCTTGGCCTGGGAAAGATAACTTGGCTTGAGGGAGTATTGGGACTCAAAAATCCTTGTCTGTGAATCACTCTGTGAGTTCTCACACTCTTCCACTAGAACAGGATCTTCCCTGTTGTAAAATATCCTGAGGGAAGACTCTGACTTTACTGGGGCAGGAAGCTGGCCCCCTGCACATGAGATAGGCATGTGCTGAATGACTTTCTGAGATATATCACTGACCATTGAGTTTGTTTTCCTTATTCCCACTTTAGTCCCAGAGTATTGCTGTATTATGGAAGAAGTGGAGCCACGTGTCCACATCCTTAAGGCCATTCTTTTCTCATGACCATGACATAAAGTATGTCTTTGAATGTAGTTTTTAATCACTGAAGACTGAGAAATAGTATATGGGCCTCTCTGTAGCAGGCTCTGGGAAAATTCCATCAGTTCAGCTGGAACCCCAAATAAATGCTGAATAGATCGACAGGTATATACAGTAGTTCTTTCTGATAAAGAAGTTTGAGAGCAAAGCTTCCTTTCCATAGTGGTCCCCAAGACATTCCCCAGCATTAGCATAGTGGAGAGATATTTTCTAGGCAATCGCTGCCTCCAGGCATGACTCTCCCAGACATTCTGTTGTCTGCCCAGGAAAGACCTGATAAGGCCTCTTCGAGCCCCTGAGTCTGCCTGGAATGTCCTGGGTGGTGATCTCCAGCTTTGTGGTGGATGACTCTGGAGTGAGTTCTCTAGCTCCTCCATCTGCTTCCTCTTAGTCTTCTCCTTAGATATGACATCCACTCCTGGGATCTCAGGATTTGGGGTGTCCACAGTATTAGCTATCTTATCAGAGGGTTGATTATGAAGGCCCAAGGGAAGAGTTAAAGACTGTATCATAATAGGGTCTTTGGGCTGCAAAATATCTGTCCCAAGGTTTTTTCTATTCCAAACTCTTGATACTCCTGGCATGCCAGAATCCCAAAGGTCCCCTGATTCAGATGTTGTTTTGACAGAGCTTGAAATGAATGGGGTTGAAGAGCTGTGTAGAAACCTAGAGAAGTTAGTCCCTACTTGTAACTCTTCTGATGTTAACTCCTCAGATTCGCTATTCTGAAACACTTGTCCTAGATTCAAATCCTCAGGTTTCATGATTTTAGGAAGCTCTGTTTTTATGGCTATAGATTTCACAGCCTGAAGCCCTTGTTTATGAGTCAATACTGTAGGTTTCTCAAATGAAGATGTTTGCTGTGAGGTTAATTCTTCAAATTTAACTTGAATATTTGGCCTTGGAGTTAATTCTACAGGTTCCACCAGTTCTTGAAGATGTGGCCTTGGGAGTAAATCCAAACAATCCATTACTTCAATTCCTGATCCTAAGGCTACTCCTAGTGGTTCTACAACCTGAGGAATTGGTCCTGGTGCTAATTCCTCAGATTTTATGATTTGAAAGGATGGCCATGGGATTAATATAGTCTTTACAATTTGAAACCCTTTCAACTCCATTGTTTCCAAAATCTGGTGTGTTGGCTCTGTGATTAATTTCTTAGATTTTACATTTTGCAATCGTAGCCTTGAGGTAAACTCTGAAGGTCTCACATCTTGCAGTTGTGGAGTCAATTCAACATATTCTACCATTTGAGGGGTTGGTCCTGGTGTTGTGACAGACTTCACAACTTGAAGTGGCGACCCAGGGGTCATTTTCACAGATTCAACAACTTTTGGGGGATCTACTGAGGTTACCCCTACTGAATGAGCAACTTGAAGCTGTGTCCTTGCAGATTCTGTGACTTGATCTAGTGGCTTTGGACTAATCCTCCTAAATTCTATAATTTGACCCAGTGGTCCTGGTGCCGTCTCTGAATATTTCATACTTTGATTCTTTGACTGTGTTAGCCCCATCGATACCTCCTTTTGCTGCCATGTCTTAGAGGTGGGCTCCGCTGATTCTGCATGTCCCACAACTTGACTTGTTTGCTTTGGGGATAACTCTAAAGAGTCCTCCATTTGCTCAGAGACTGAACTTACAGATTCTAGGACTTGGTGTCTTAACCCTAGTGTTATCCCTGAAGATCTCACATGATGTTGTGGTTTTGGGGTCAATTCCATAGGTGTCTCCATTTGTAGCCCCGTCTTAGAAGTTAATTCCACAGATTTAGGAACTTGATGTCCTAGCTGTGGTGTCATCCCTGAAGTAGAATCTGGGATATGATATAATGACTGTGGAATCAATACTACAGAGTCTTCCGTTTGCAGTCTTTTCTCAGACATCACTTCCATAGATTCTAAATCTTGGGGATAGTGCCTTGGAGATCTCTCTGAAAATCCAGCAGCTTGACTTACTGCTTTTGGGGTCATTCCAAGGAATTCCTTCCCTTGCAGCATTGCCTCAGAGGTCAACTCCAGAGCTTCTGTAATGCGATGCTTGAGCTCCAGGGTAATCCCTTCAGATTCCACAATTTTTTGCAGTGGCCTTGTATATAACTGCCCCAAATCCTTAACTTGAGGCCATGACTGAGAGAGCAATTCCAGGGTTTCTGGGGTTTGGTAGCTTTTCTCTGGAGTTAAGTCTAAGGATTTTGAGACTTGATCCTTTAGCACTGGAATCAGATCAACAAATTTTGGGACTTGAAGATCTAGCTTCAGAGGCAACCCTAAAGATTCCATAACTTTACAAATGTGGCCAGAGGTTGCCCCCAGTGGCTTTGGGGTCAACTCCACAGATTTCTCTACAGTTTCTGGGTCTTTATATGCCAACCCTTGTGTCATTTCTGTAGATTCTGTGGCTTGATAAATTGGTACTGAAATCAAATTCACAGATTCAGGGACTTGATGTCTTGGCTTTGGGATCATCTCAGCATATTTTACAAACGGTTGCCCTGATCTAGGGATTATTTCAGAGGATTCCATGATTTGATAATTTGTTCTTGGATTTTGCTCCCCATATTTCACTCTTTGAAACAATGACCCTGGTGTTAACTCTACAGATTTTATAGTTTGCTGCAGAGACACTGAAGACAATTTCACATGTTTTATACTTTGCGACTTTGGCTCTGGAGTAAACCCCAAAGATTTCACACCTTGTTGCTGTGATTCTGGAGACAAATTTGAAAATTTGACACTAGTCAACATTGGTCCTGTTAGGAACTTCCTAGCTGGTTCTGATGCCAACACTGTTGATTTCATACCTTCCCATCCTAAAGTCAATTCTCGGCAATTCATGCTTTGCTGTTGGGACCCTCGTGTTAGTGCCACAGGTTTTATATCTTGAAAACATGATTTGGATGGAAAGACCACAGATTCAACACATTGTGACCCAAGGCATGATGTCAACCCTAAAGAATTCATGCTTTGAGGTTGTGGCCATGGGTTCAACCTCACAGATTTCACATCTTGAGAACATGGCTCTGATGAAAACACCACAGTTCTCTCAGAATTCATATATTCAGGAGGTGGTTCTGGATTTAACTCCACAGATTTCACTTTTTGAAAACATGGCTCCAATGTAAATACCTCACATTTTAAGTCCCACTGCTCAGAGCCTGAAATCAATTTCACAGAATTTGCACCACAAAGCAATGATGGTTTGTTCACCTCCACAGACTTTATATCTTTAAATGGTGGCTCTGGTAAAAATACCACAGATTTTACACTATTTAACTGAGGATCTAAAGCAAACACAGGTTGTATAACTTGCTGCTGTGACCTAAGGTGGTTCCCCAAAAATTGGACTCCTTGAAACTGTGTCCCTGGAGTTAACTCAGAAGATTTCACACCTTGCAAGTGTGGTCCAGGGTTGAACAGAATAGATTTTGTACCTTGGGATTCTGACCCAGGGTTCAATTCAGATGATTTCATGCCTAGTATCTGTGGCCCTGAATTAAACTTTATAGAATTTCTGCATTGACGTTTTGACTCTGAATTCAACTCAGAAGAATTCACACTTGGCATCTGTGGGCCAGAGTTGAACTCCATTGGCATTATGCCTGGAAACTTTGTTCCTGGAGTCAATTCACATTTTATGTCTTGGAAATGTTGCACAGATTTGATACCCTGAAGTTCTGGCCTTGGATGCAACTCAGAAGATCTCATACCTTGAAATTTTGTCCCTGAAGTCAATTCAAAAGATTTTACACCTTGCAAATGTAGCCCAGGGTTGCATCCAAGAGAATTTACACACTGAAGTTGTGACCCTGGAATGGGTTCAGAAGAATTTATACCTTGTGAATGCAGCCCAGGGTTGCACCCAGTAGAATTTGCACACTGAAGTTGTGGCCCTGGAATGGATGCAAAATTCATACCTTGCAAATGTGGCCCAGGGTTGCACCCAGTAGAATTTACACATTGAACTTGTGGCCCTGGAATGGATGCAGAAGAATTCACACTTTGCGAATGTGGCCTAAGGTGGCACCCAAGAGAATTTACACGCTGAAGTTGTGGCCCTGGAACAGATGCAGAATTCACACCTTGCAAATGCAGCCCGGGATTGCACCCAGTAGAATTTACACGCTGAAGTTGTAGCTCTGGAATGGATGCAGAACTATTCACACCTTGTGAATGTGGCCCAGGGTTGCACCCAAGAGAATTTACACACTGAAGTTGTGGCCCTGGAACAGATGCAGAATTCACACCTTGCAAATGCAGCCCGGAATTGCACCCAGTAGAATTTACACACTGAAGTTGTAGCTCTGGAATGGATGCAGAACAATTCACACCTTGTGAATGTGGCTCAGAGTTGCACCTGAGAGAATTTACACACTGAAGCTGTGGCCCGGGAATGGGTGCAGAAGAATTCATACCTTGCAAATGTGGTCCAAGGCAGAACACTTTAGAATTTATATCTTGAAGCTCTGGCCCAGGATTCAACTCAGAAGATTTTATACCTTGTAACTGTGGCCCTGTGTTTAATGCCATAAAACCTTTACACTGAATCTGTGGCCCTGGATTCAGTTCAGAGGATTTCCCACTTTGCAATTTAGGCTCATGCTTGAATCCTAGTGATTGCTCATCTGGAAGCTTTGTCTTTATGCACAACTCAGAAGATTTTATTCCTTGCAACTGTGGCCCAGCGTAGAACTCTAAAGATTGGGTATCTTGAAGCCTTGTTCCCAGGCGTAACTCAGATTTCACATCATGCAACTGTTGCTCAGAATTGAATTCCATAGATTTCGCATCTTCTTGAAGCTTTGTCCCTGTGCATAATTTTGAAGATTTTCTGTGTTGCAAATGTGGCCCAGGACTAAACACCAAAAATTTTACATTTTGAAGCTCTGGCCATGGATTCAATTTGTGAGATTTCTCATCTTGCTGCTGCTTTCCAGCATTGAACTTGGAAGGTACCACACTGTGAATCTTTGATTCCAAGGCCAACTCAGAGAGTTTTGCAACCTGCAATTCTGGGTCAGGGTTGACATCTGTAGAGTTCATTGTCTGAAGCTTTATCAACTCAGATTTCACACCTTGCAACTTTGCCCCAGGGTTGAATTCCATAGATTTCACACCTTGAAGGCTTATTGTTGGTGTCAACATAGATAATTTCCTATCTTGTAACTGTGGGGGTGAGTTGAACCCCAAAGATGTCCTATCCTGTACCTTTGTTCCTAGAGTCGATTCAAAAGATTTTACATCTTGCCACATTGGCCCAGGCATAAACTCCACAGATTTCATTTTTTGAAGCTTTGTCCTTGGGATCACTTCAGAAGATTTCATATCCTCCAATTGTGATCCAGACTTAAACTCCATAGATTTTACATCTTGAAGCTTTGTTCCCAAGATCAAGTTAGAATATGTCATATCTTGCAACTGTGGGCCTGAGTTGAACTCTACAGATTCCCCATCTTGAAGCTTTGTCTCTCGTCTTAACTCAGAAGATGTTACACCTTGTAGCTTTGGACCCTGGTTGAACTCTACAGATTTTACATCTTGAAGTTTTGTTCCTTGAATCAACTCAGAAGATTTTTCACTTTGTATCTCTGGTCCAGAATTGAAGTCCATTAATTTCACACATTGAAGCTTTGTGCCTGAGATCACCTCAGATGATTGTATACCTTGAAAGTATGGTCCGGAACTGAACTTCTTAGATTTTACACCTTGAAGTTTTATACCCATGAGAAAATCAGAAGGTTTTGTATCTTGTGACTGTGGGCCTGAGTCCAGCTCTGCAGATTTCACACCTGGAAACTTCCTCCTGAGGGTTAAATCACACTTTTCACCTTGTAACTTTGGACTAGGTTTAAATTCTACAGATTTCACACCTTGAAGTTTTTCCCCTAGGATTACTTCAGAAGATTTCACGCTGTGCAAGTATGGTCCAGAACTGAAATCTATAGATTTTACATCTTGAAGCTTTATACCCATAATCAATTTAGAAGAGTTCACATCTTGCAACTGTGGGCCTGAGTTGAATTCCAGCAATTTCACTTCTTGAAGCTTTGTCCTCGGTATGGACTCAGAGGATTTCACACCTTGCAACTGTGACCCAGGTTTGAAGCCTGTAGATTTCACATCTTGAATCTTGGTCAAGTCAGAAAATGGTATCTCTTTCAATTGTGAGCTGGGGGTTAACGCAATAAATTTCATATCTTGGGACTCTGTCTTAGGTATCAACTTAGAAGATCTGACACTTTGCCTCTGTGGCCCAGAGTTGAACTCAGATTTCATACCTTCAAGCTCTGTCTGAGGAGCCAATGCAGATGATTTCATACTTTTCAAGTGCAGTAGAAAGTTCAACTCTACAGTTTTATCACTTTGTAATTGTTGCTCTTGGCTTAATACCCCAGATTTCACCCCTGAAATCTGTGGCTCTTGTGTAAACACTAGAGAATTCACACCTTGAAGCTGTGTTCCTGGGGATAACTCTAAGGGTTTCACTTTTTGCAGCTGTGGTCCTGGATTCAACTCAGAAGATTTTATACCTTGTAAATGAAGCCCAGATTTGAATGCCATAGACTTTATATCACAGAGCTTTGTCCTTGAATTTGGGTCACATGATTTCATACTTCTCAACTGTAGCCCAGGTTTCAAATCAATAGGTTTGAACCCTTGAAGCTTATGCTCCCGGAGTGATGCCAAAGGTTGTATACCTTGGAGCCTTGGCCTTGGAGTCAACTCAGATGACTTCACGTCTCTTAATTGTATTATAGAGGATTTCGATGCTACAGTTGTGACACCTCGAGATTGTGAACCAAGATTTAGCACAGATTTCATACCTTGGCAATCTGATCTCGGTATCCACTGAACAGATTTCATACTTCCAAGCTGTGGCTCTTGGTTTAACTCCACAGTTTTCATGCCTTGAAGCTGTGACTCTGACATTGATGCCAAAATTTTCCCTCTTTGCAGCTGTGCTCCCGGGGACAACTCAGGTGTTTTCACACACTGCAACTGTGGCCCAGGGTTAAATTCCATAGATTTTGCACCTTGAAGTTTTGGCCCTAGAGTCAATTCAGATGACTTGACACCTCCAAACTGCATTGAAGGTTTCGACTCTGCAGGTTTGAAGCCTCGAGACTGTGACCCAAGATTTAACCCTATAGAGTTCACACCTTGGAACTCAGGTCTTGGTATCCACTGCACAGATTTCGTACTTCCAAGCTGTGGCTCTTGGTTTAACTCCATAGTTTTCACACCTTCAAGCTGTGGCTCTAAGGTTGACACCAGAATTTTCCCTCTTTGCTGCTGTGCTCCTGGGGACAACTCAGACGTTTTCACACACTGCAACTGTGGCCCAAGCTTAAACTCCATAGATTTTGCACCTTGAAGTTTTGGCCCTAGAGTCAATTCAAATGACTTCACACCTCCAAACTGCACTGAAGGTTTGGACTCTGCAGGTTTGAAGCCTCGAGACTGTGACCCAAGATTTAACCCTATAGATTTCACACCTTGGAACTTAGGCCCTGGTATCCACTGAAGAGATTTCATTCTTCCAAGCTGTGGCTCTTTGTTTAACTCCACAGTTTTCATACTTTGAAACTGTGGCTTTGAGGCTGACCCCAAGGATTTCACTTGGTGGATCTGTGGTCCTGGGGTCAACTTAGGAGATTTCATACTTTGCAACTGTGGTTTACATTCAAACTCTTTAGCTTTTACATCTTGCATATATGGTTCTGGAGTCAATTGAAATGATTTAATACCTTTAAATTGTAGCTCAGAGTTGAGGTCTATAGATTTTACATCTTCAGATTTCGACTCTGGAATTAACTCCAAAGACATTACATCTTCTGGCTCAAACCCTCTCTTCAATTGCCATAAATTCACACATTGCTGCTCTGGTGCATTTACAGATATCTGACCATCCTGTTCAGGCCCAGGAGATAAATCCACAGGTGTCATCCCTTGAAACTGTTGCTTTGGGGCTAAATCCACAGATTTTACACCTTCAAACTCCTGTCTTCTGGGTACATTCACAGATTTTACTACCGGCCGCTTTAGCCTTGGGATCATCTTCACAGACTTTACACATTGCAGCTGTGGATCTGGAGTCTCCTCTACAGATTTTAAACTTTGAAGCTTTAAACATGGGATAATCTCCACAAATTTCATATCTTGCATTTGTGGTGGCTCTGAAGTCATTTCCTCAGGTTTCATATCTTGTAGATGAGGTCTTTGAAGCACTTCCATAGATTTAACACCTTGAAGCAACGGACTTGGTGCAAAAGCCATAGACTTCACACCTTGCATCTTTAGCCCAAGTTTTAATTCCACAGCTTTCAAATTGTGCAACTGTGTACCTGGTATGAACTGCCCAGTTTTTAAATCTTGAATTCTTAAACCTGGAGTCAACTCCATACATTTTGCTCTTTTAAGCTTGGAATCAGGGGTAAATTCCACAAATTTGACATCTTCTATCTGTGAACCCAAGGTTTTCTCCACAGATTTCCCACCTTCCAGCTGTGGACTTGGGGTTATCTCCACATATTTCATACCTTCCAGGCATGGTCCTAGAGTTAAGCCCACAGATTTCATATCTTCCAACTGTGATCCTGAGGTCAGCAACTCAGACTTTAAACCTTGAAGCTTTGAGCCTAGAGTTAGCTCCCCAGGTTTCATACCTTCTGCCTGTGGCTCTGGGATTAATCCCATAGATTTGACATCTCCCGATTCTGGCTTTGGTGTTAACTGCATAGACTTCATACCTCCCAAATGTGACCCTGAAGTTAACTCCACAGCTTTTATATCTTCCAGCTGTGGCTCTGGGATCAGCACCTCAGATTTTAAACCTTGAAGCTTTAAGACTGGGGTCCACTCCACCAGATTTACATCTTGCAACTGTGATCCTTGGATCAGTTCAGATTTCACATTTTGCAACTGTGGTTTTCTGGTCAACTCAGAATGGTTTACACTTGGCAACCGTGGCCCAGGAGTCAACTCCATAGATTCTGCATCTGGTATCTGTGGCTCTGAGACTAATTTACAAGAAATTTCAACTTCTAACATTGGCACTTGGTTCCCTGCTACATATTTTACACCTTGAAACAATGGCTCTGGTACTAACAACTCAGGCCTAACCCCTTTCCCCTCTGGCTCTGGGGCCATCTCCATAGATGTTACCCCTTGTATCTTTGGCCCTGGGATCAACTCAGAAAATTTTACACGTTGTAGCTGAGGCCCTGAATTTAACTCTGAAGATTTCATACCTTGAGATTGAGTTCCTGGTGTCACATCAAAAATTTTGACATCTTGTAGCCATGGCTGTAGGTTAAGCCCTACCTGATTCATACCTTGAAGCTCTGGAAATATGTTTGCTAATTTGGAATCTTGTAGCCCTAACTCTGGAGCCACCTCCACAGAATTCACACCATGAAACATTGATCCTGGGGTTGGCTCCCCAAATTTGACACCTTGAAGCTTTGGCCTTGAAGTCAATTCAGAAAAGTTGCCATCTTGCTGCCATAGCCCTAGGTTTACTTCCTCAGGTTTCACGTCTTGAAATTGTAGTTCTGAGGTCAAATTCACAGACTTCTTGCTGTGAGACTGTGATCCTTCAGTGGATAGAACAGATTTCATAACTTCTACACATGGCCCTTGACTTAACTGCAAAGATGACTCTGGTGCAAACTCTAGAGAATTTATGTCTTCAAGCTGAACTCCTGGAATCAACTGTACGTGTTTGAAATCTTGAAGCTTTGGCTCTGGGATCAAGTTAGAAAATTTGGCATCTTGCAGGCACGGTCTTGGGTTTAGTTCCACAAGTTTCACACTTTGAGGTTGTGGTTCTGGAGTCAACTGTACAGATTTGACACTTTGATGCTTTGGCCCTGGAGTAAAATATGACAATTTGATTTCCTGCATTGGGGAATCTGAGGTTAATTCATCAGATTTCACACCATAATGTGGGGGTCCTGAGATTAAATTTACAGGTTTTTCTCCTTGAAAAAGTGGCCCTAGAGGTAATTTTGAAAATCTGACACTTTGCAACTGTGGCCCTGGGGTCAAGTCCATAACACATGGTTTTGGTCCTGTAATTAAATTTTTAGATCCTACCACTAATGGGGATGCCACTCCGGTTAACTCTATAGATTTCAATTGTTGCAGTAGTGGCTCTGATTTCTCATGTTGTATCTCTGGTCCTAGAGTCAACTCCAAAGATCCTGTTTCTGAATATGATAATGGCACTGGGGTCAACATCTCTGATTTCACACTTTGCAACTCTGATCCTTGTTTAAAATCCACAGATTCTTTCATTGTATGTTGCGATGCTGGAGTTTCCCCCATTGCTTTTACAAGATGGTGCATTGTCTCAGGAGTGCCTTGGAAAGATATTGAGCTCATCTCCATAGATTCTGAAGTTTGGCTCAATGACTCTGGAATAATTCCTAAAGATAACTGTGTCAATGCAATAGATTCTTCCACTTGGTGACAAGTGTCAGAGATCGACTTTGCTTCTGTTCCTTGATATCCTGGCCCTGAGATCATCCCTAAAGATTCTGAGGATTGATGCCATGGGGTCAATCCTTCAGGCTCTGTGGCTTGATGATTTTGTTTGCAGTTCATCTCTGCAGAATTTATTACTTGAAGTTGTGTCTGTTTGATCAACTCCCCATATTTCATACTTTGCACCTGTGTCTCAGGAATTAACTTCCTACATGCTACCATTTGAGGAGTTTTTACATCTTCAAGCAACAGTACTGGGGCTATCTTCTTAGATCTGATATCTTGTGACCATGGCTTTGGGGCCAACTCCATAGATACTGTATCTTCTGTTAGTGGTCTTGAGGTCAAATCCATAGTGTTTAAATCTTGAAATTCTGGTGGTAGGGCCAAATGAACAGATTCCACACCTTGCAACTGTGAAGCTGGGGTTAAACCCCCATGTTCTATAACATGTGGCTGTGCTGGTGGAATTATCCCCATGAAATCCATGGCTTGTAATAGTGCCACTGGAGTTACTTTTATGACATCCATAACTCGATGCAATGGTGCTGAGATCATTTCCAGTGATTTTTTGTTCTGATGTTTTGGCCCTGGAGTAATCTTCACCTGTTCCATGACTTCATGCTGAAGTCCTGGGGTAGTTTCCACAGTTTCCATGACAGTGTGTTGTGGCCTTAGACTCATCTTTTCTGGTCTTACAGCTTCATGGTCCAACAATATGTTCATCTTCACTGACTCCATGACTTGATATTGTGGTGTTGGGGTCATTCTTGTTGATTCTGTATGTGGTTGTGATTTGTTATTCATTCCCATAGAATCTATGACTTGAAGCAGTGCTACAGGAGTTACCTTCACATTATCTGTGACTTGATTCAGTAGTCCTGAGGCCATCCTCTTTGGTTCCATAACTTGGTGCTGAGGCCTTGGGGTGACCTCCACTGATTCAGTGATTTGATTTGGTGATTTTGGCATTACCTTCACTGTTTCCATAGCATCCACTGGTTCCACAACTTGATTTGGTGGCTGTGGGAACAAACCCACAGATTCTATCACTTCTGATTGTGATTCTGGGATCATCCCCATTGAATCCATGACCTGAAGTAATGCCAGTGGAGTTACCTTTATACTATCTGTGACTTGATATGGTAGCATTGGGGTCAACTCCACATTAGTTGTTTGTGTCTTATGCTGCTGTACCCTTTTTTCTGGAAGACCTATGACCTGCGGCTCTATACCAAGCTCTAGCACGTGTTTTGGGTCTTTCTTCAGTAAAGTGGTTTCCTCTTGAATTATGTTAACTCCTAAACTTCTGGGAGCTGGAGTGTCCATTGATGTAACTAAAGGCTTGGATCCAAGGATTTCGGGGCCATCCACAGGTTGTGACTGCTTATTTGAGGAAACTGACTGTGAAAATTCTGTTTCTGTCCTACTTAATCCAGATTTGACTCCAATGTTCACATGGAGCTGAAATGATGGAAGGTCTGGGGATTTATTGTTGATATTTTGTTCAGTGCTTTGATAAATGGGCATAGATGACTGGCTTTGGGGTTTCTCTGGTTCAGGGACTCCTCCTTGTACTTCGATTAAATAATTCAGCATTGCCCATGATTCCCTCACAGGCAGAGGCACCTTTTGTTTCCGCAAAGTACAAACCTTCCAAGACATATGTCCTTCTAGCTCCCCCCTAGCCAAAGGAGAGAGCTGGATTGGAGCTGACCTTGGGAGTTGTGGTCTTTCCTTGGAAACAGAATTTGGCCCATGATCTGATGTCAAATGCCTCTTGCTCCTTCTCTCACCTTTTGTTTTCTCTTGTTTGTAGATATTTAGGGATCCAAAAATAGAGTTGCTAAAAGAGCTTTGAGGTTGTAAGGGTGAATGATCTATCAAATTCTGAAAAAGTTTTGATTTTCCAGGCTCTGACAGCTGAAAAGGAGGCAGGGAGGTACCTTGGTTCCTGAACACAAATGGTTGCTTTTTGGGGGAAACAGGTAAACTATGGCTCCGGAATTGCCAGGTTGTTCCTTCAGAAAAGACAGGAAAGTTAGACAGGCTGGAACTATTACGTGATGATCCAGAGGAGATGCTGTGGTCAATAGAATGTTTTTCCTTCTTATAGTCACAACAGGGTAGAATAGCCTTCTGAGCCAAAAGAGCAGAGGAGGTGGAGGAAGAAATTATATCCTGTGATTCAGGCAAACCCATTTCCAGAAGACTTGATCTAAGAAATAAAGAGAAAAGTTTCCATTTTCTTTGAAGTAGGAAAAGGAAAAGGAAAGAGAGTGGCCATTTCAAATGCAAAATATTTTTGGCCTGAGGGAGAGTTGGGGAAAAAAGTTGCTTTCCCCAACATCAATTACTTATGGAAAAAATTCCCCACCAGGACAAAGGGAGACAACAGCTCTCATTCCACTCAGAAATGATCCTTAGACCAGTTGAACCCATAACTTACCCCACTGACAAAACTAACTCTTCTCCCACTTTCTCTCCCTCCCTCTCTCCTTTATCTCCTTGCTTCCTCCCTCTTAAAAGCTCTACCACCTTTAATCTCCCACCCAGAAAGTATATTCCCTGACCTTGCACTTTCCAGGTGTCGGAAGATCTGTTGAAGACTCCTATCCATTGACCAGAGTATGTACTCCTGGGTCCAGCCCACAGGGAGTCCTGAAACACTGGATGCAACAGAGTATGTCAGTGTAATTGAAGTGATATTAAAGTACCAGTAAGGAAAACAGTAAGAAGAGAGATTTAACTTGGAAAGGAGAAAGCTGTCATGGTGAGGGAAGTAAAACAACCAGGTAGTTTACTTGTAACTTTTACAGAATTTTATCAGTGGAACAGGCAGAAGAAAGAAAGAGTTTGCTGAAGACAGGCTTTACGTACCCAGTGCAACCCATCCTGAGGTTGTCTTCCCACTG